TGTTTGCTTATTTTCTCCCCTATCAGGCTGTGGGCTCCTTGAGAACAAGGACTATCTTCCACATTTCTTTGTGTTCCAAGAACCTAGCATAGTGCATGACATATGATAAATTTAATTTGATAACATTTAATTTTGAAATATTTAATAAACATGTAGTGACTGACTACCTGAAATTATGGCAGGACTGTTGCTTAGGAGGAAGAATTCTGAAACCTCAGGGAAGGAAACACATTGGAAAAGATGAATTATTTCTATTATTTAACTGATTAATTCCTGTTATTAAAAATCTGACCAGTTTTCAACTATTTTATGATCTTTACTACTTGTTGAGGTAAAAGGAGAAGAGAAGGAAGCAGGGCCCTTAAAGGGACATGAGCCACATTTTTTTATGTTTCCAAGGAATGCCTCTGAGGGAGGACAGTCACTGCTCTGTTATTATTGAGAAATCTTAAAGATTGAACTCAGTCTAGGTGTTTGTAAAAACTGAGATCTAGAACTAAAGAAAAGAAATGCAGGGGAAGGTGGCCTAGCCATTCCAGATCTTAAATTGTATTATAAAGCAGCAATCATCAAAACTACTTAGTACTGGCTAAGAAATAGAATGGTGGATCAGTGGAATAGGTTAGGTATGTAAGACACGGTAGTCAATGACTATTGTAATCTACTGTTTGATAAACCCAAAGACCCCAGCTTCTGGGATAAGAACTCACTATAGTAGGGCAGAAACCAGGCATAGACTAAAATCTTACATGATATACCAAAATAAAGTCAAAATGGGTTCATGGTTTAGATATAAAGGCTGATACTATAAGCAAACTGGAAGAACAAGAAACAGTTTACCTGTCAGATTATGGAGAACAGAAGAATTCATGACCAAACAGGAGACAGTGAACATTATGAAATGCAAAATGGATAACTTTGATTACATTAAATTGAAAAGTTTTTGCACAAACAAAGCCAATGCAACCAAGATTAGAAGGAAAGTAGAAAATTGGGAAAGAATTTTTACAACCATTATCTCTGATAAGGGCTTCATTTCTAAAATACATAGAGAAGTAAGTCAAATTTATAAGAATACAAGTCATTCCCCAATTGATAAATGGTCAAAGGATATGAACAGGCAGTTCTCAGATGAAGAAATTAAAGCCATTTACAGTCATATGAAAAAATGCTCTAAATCACTATTGATTAGAGAAATGCAAATCAAAACAACTCTGAGGTACCACATCACACCTATCAGATTGGCCAACATGACAAAACAGGAAAATGGTCAATGTTGGAGAAGATGTGGGAAAATTGGAAAACTAATGCATTGTTGGTGGAGTTATGAAATGATCCAAACATTTTGGAAAGCAATTTCGAACTATACCCAAAGAACTATAAAAATGTGTATACCCTTTGACCCAGCAATAGCATTTTTAGGGCTATATCTCAAAGAGACCAAACAAGTGGGAAAAGGACCCACATGTACAAAAATATTCATAGCAGCTCTTTTTGTGGTGGGAAAGAATTGGAAACTGAGGAGATGCCCATCAATTGGGGAATGGCTGAACAAGTTCTGGTATATGAATGTAATGAAATACTATTGTGTTATAAGAAATGATGAGCAGGCAGACTTTAGGAAAAAACTGGAAAGACTTGTATGGACTGAGGCTGAGTGAAATGAGCAGAACCAGGAGAACGTTGTACACAATAATAGCCACCATTGTGTGATGACTAACGTTGATAGACTTAGCCCTTCTCAGCAATGCAAGGATCTAAGATATCTTCAAAGGTCTCATGATGGAAAATGCTATCCATATCCAAAGAAAGAACTATGGAGTTTGAATGCAGATCGAAGCATACTATTTGCTATTTTTTTCTTCTGTTTTCTTTAGTTTCCTCTCTCTGTTGGTTCCTCCTATTGGTTCTAATCCTTCCTTACAACATCACTAATGTTAAAATATGTTTAATAGGAATATATATGTATAGCCTATATCAGATTGTGTGCTCTCTTGGGGAGGGAGGGGGAGAAAAATTTAAAACTCAAAAGCTTATGGAAGTGATTGTTGATAAATCAAAATAAATTAATAAAAAAAGAAAACGACTGAGATCTAGAATCACAAGATGTATTTGTTTGGAAATTAATGAACCAAAGAGTAGAATCATAATAAAGAATATATATATTTAGAGTAGGATTTTTTAAAAAAGAGATATGTAACAGTGGTATTTTTGGAGGAGCATTATAGACTACCTAGCCAGAGAGAGAGTAAATAATATTTCTTAACAAAGAACATAAAACTTTCAGAAGGCAAGCTATAATAATCATATGGTAGGATATGGGGGGAGCTCTACTAAAAGTGGAACATTAGATAAATATTGGATTTAATTTACTGACAATTTCATTTGTCAAAAAATATAATGTGAAATTGGACTCTGGATACAATTTTGTCTTTTTCTTTTTAGGCAATTGGAGTTAAGTGACTTGCCCAGGGTCACACAGTTAGTAAGTGTCAAGTGTTTGGTCTGAGGCTGGATTTGAACTCAGGTCCTCTTGACTCCAGGGCTGGTGCTCTTTCCATTTGCCACCTAGCTGCCCCACTGGATACAATTTTGATGAACAAAGGAAGGAACCTTTGAAGAAAGTGACCACCTCAGCTTGGCATCATAAAAAGAGAACACTAGAAATAAATATTAAAGTAGCTTGACTTGAAAGAATTTACAAATTAAGAACCACTATGGGTTGACTAAGAACAAGTCAGTGAAAATACTTCCTTTTCACATTTGATCCATTTATTATGTTTGTGGATCATGGAACTGTCAAAGCATTTGACAAAGTCTCCCATATGTTTGTCAAGAGATATGAACTATTTGGTATATTTGTTGACCACATGACTAAGAATTCTTATTAGTGGTCCTGTATCAATTTAAATAGATATGTGTTCCTGGGTTTTTTTATTGGCTGTATTATCACATAGACCAAAATGGTACTACTGATAAAAAATAATATCTGATATTTTAAAACAATGAATTTGATCAATGACATCATACGACTTGCACAAAATAAGGTATTTAATAAGTGTTTGCTGACCAGTCTCAGAAAGCGATATTGCCATCAAGAAACTACCATCCAAAAGGCCATTTTTGTATATTCAGATAGAGTTATAAATTAATTCAGTCAAACATTTAAGAAGAATCAGTATCTGTTATAAGAATTATTACTAATAATTGAGGAAAACATATATTTTACTGAACTCCTTCTGTGAGGCAACTATGCTTCTAATATTGGTGGAGAAATGTTAAATAAAATCCTAGCAAAAAGACTATAGTAATATATCCAAAAATTATTTTTCTTTTTGGCAAGGCAATTGGGGTTAAGTAACTTGCCCAGTGTCACACAGCTAGTAAGTGTTATGTGTCTGATGCTGGATTTGAACACAGGTCCTCCTGATCCAGGGCCGGTGCTCTATCCACCGTGCCACCTAGCTGCCCCCACAAAAATTATTTATTATGACAAAGATGAAGTTATACCAAGAATACAATGATGGCTCAACTTTGGGAAACCATTAGACTAAGCAATCTTCTTAGAAGCAAAGCAACCAAAATCACATAATGTAAAAGCAGGGTCTGATAAAATATAGTATTCACTTATGCTATACCCCCCTACACACACACACATACATCAGAAAGGAGAGATAGGCATAGAAGGTCCATTAAAAATGCTTGAATTGTAATGGCAGAAAAATTTCAATTGTTTTATTCCATAAACCTACTTTAAAGTACCCCAATGTATCCCAACTTAGTACCCTTTTAGATTGACTTAGTTAAGTATACCTACTTTTTCTTGCCCCTAAAACTTATGTTTAGTCTCAAACTAATAATTGACTGATGAAAAATCCTTCCCTTGGCACAAATAATTGCATTACCTCAGTTTAAAATTTTGTAAAACACTGCTTTTTGGAATAGGTTTTTCTTAATTTTAGATTAGCTTTAAAATTATTTTAAATTAAAATGGCCTAAATGAAAGGTGGTTCCCTGACAATTTACCTCTTTGTAGCATAAATTATCCAGAAAACTGCTGGTTCTAAGACATCCATTTAAAAAACAAATAAACAAGCAAGCAAAGAAGAAAAATCTTATTAATAAAACATCAACGATTTTTTAAAGTACTGCATTTTCTTAGTGAGACTGAAGATATTCTCATGGATATCATAGGAACTTTTGGCTTTTCTAAGATATGCCATTTTTAATATGATAAAAAGAATGTATCTAAAACCGAAATCATCAATATTTGCAATGGAATAATTTTAGAAGCTTTCCCAATAAATGCAGGGCCAAACTGAGAAGATCTCCTTATCTCATTTAAGTGACATAGTTCTAGAAGTGCCAACAATAACAAGTATGACAAGTAAAAAAAGTTAAAGGCAACCACATTAGCAAAGAGAGGACAATATCTATTTGCAAATGATATAATGGTTTACGTAAAAGACCCCAGATGACTAGCAAAGAAAACAACTGAAACCATTAATAGCATTGGTAAGGCAGGAAGAAATGTTATTAAATCCTGAAAACTGTCAGCATTTCTATAAAGCGGAGGGGTAACTGGGTGATCCAGTGGGTAGAATGCTGAAATCAAGAAGACCTTAATGAATCAATGTTTTTAAAATATTTGATGAATTGAAATTGTAGCATTTGAAATTTAATTGTAGTATTTAAGTCCTTGCACATGTATAATTCTAGTCCAGCAAACCACTTGTAATTCACTGGACTACTCAGTTTTGTGGGAGGAAAACTTAGCCACTTAGCACTTGTCTCATAATGTTGTGTGGCTGGTGTTCAGCACTAGGGTCGGTCATCTGTTACCCTTCTGTGTTCTCTCTACCTGACCTAATCCTGTGTTCTATAAACCAATAAATTTAATCCATGTTTTCTTTGGTAAATGAAGATTCCTCTTAGTCTCTAAATGTTTACTTCTTTAAGATGGAAAAAATTAAATTTAAAAACAAAAGAAATATTCTTACCAAGAAGACAACGTTAGTGTTTTGATAGAGAGCTCGGGCTACGCAGATTCTTTGTCTTTGGCCTCCACTTAAGTTAATCCCCTAATATAATAGATTATAAATATAAGTCATTTGAGCAAACAAAATAATTTGAGTATGACAAGCCATAAAAGTCAAAACTATTTTAAATAAAACCGTCTTTCTTAATATTGGAAATTTAGCAATTTCCAATACTGTAAGTTTAAATCATTCCTATGGGGAAGAGAAGGGGGAAAGAATAAGTATTTATATAGTGCCTACTACATGCCAGGCACTGGAATAATTCCATTTAATCTTCACACAATCTTACAAAGGAGATGCTGTTATTTTCCTCATTTTATAGTTGAGGAAACTGAGGCAAACAGAGGCTAAGCAACTTGTCCAGAGTCACACAGCTTACAAGTATCTGAAGTCAAATTTGAATTTGGGTATTCCTTCCTCCAGGCCTAGAGCTCTATCCATTTTACCACTTATCTACCTTTAATTGACATTGATGGTACATTCATAAGACAATAATTCTGCTGACTAAAATTTCAATTAACTCAAGACAAGTTTTATATTTACCAGTGAATAGAAATTTTGTTCTATAGATATGTGGCTATTTAATAATAACAAATAAATGATTAGTATTATTCATAAAAAGAAACATAATAATAAAAATGATTGTTATATGTTTTTTATTATTATATTTCTTTTCCCTAAAACTGCTAATTAATTCTTTACTTTAGATTTATGCTATGAGTTACGGTCTTAGGAAAAGTCCTCTGCTTGGCAACATAGTCTCTTAGTTTTCAAATAGCCAGAAGTTTCAGGCTGGAGAGATATAGAGAACTGCAGAGTAAAAAGTTATAGGCAACAATCTTGATGCACAAATTATGCACAATTAGCAAAACACTAAAAAAACCCCATTTTGGTCAACATGATGTCACAGTTCATACTTGTTTTATAACTCTCAGAGTGCCTAGAGTACTATTAAGAAAAACAGTTATCACTTAATAAACACTTTTTGAATTGTATCAAATATTGAACATCAGTTTCCTGCCAAATTGTGTTTGTGAGGGGCTGTTATAAGCAGTCTACATTTAATTCAATGATTAGATGGGATGGGTACTATTGTTTGTAGATATTTAAGGAATACTTAATCTTACTCTGAAAACTGCTGGCTGGTGTTCCCACCAAGGACACTCCTTAATCCCTCTATCCCAATATATTTGCAGACATAATTACAATTCTACAATAATGGAGACCAATCTTTCCTATAGGTTCATGTCTCCCTACTTGCCTTGATTCATCCTGGGAACCCTTATTCAGACTCTCAAAATCATTTCAATAGTCTCATACCAGAGAGCCTTCCTAAAACAGAATTACATTTTTGTGGGGGTGGAAGGTGGTATGTAAGAGAAGAGGACTCAGGTAATTTCCTTAAGTATTTATGGTAATTGAGGGATTGGAAGTTTTCTCAGTCTAGTGACTATGAAGGGCCATTATTTCCAAAGCCCACAGGTGTACAGCCTTAGAGGCCATTTGCAGTCCTGTTTCTAGCACTAGTGAAATACATACTGCTTAGCTTCTAAGCTCTTATTATACTTCGTGGGGAATTAATGAGAAAAGTCAGAGGCTTTTCTCCATATTGTCTTTTATTTAAAAAACCATATTTATATATTATATTTAATATGTACTTAAACATTATATATGCATATATAAAAATCGTTTATTTAGATAACCATATTTATATATTATATTTAATATACACTTAAACATTATATATACACATATATAAAATCATAAATTGACATGGATTGTATAACTCTTAACTTACCCTTTCTCCAATTTCAGTTTGGTCACCAAATGGCAACAAATCAATATCTGGCTGAAGAGAGCAGGCATCAGTGACAGCTTTGTACCTTCAGAGAAAAGATTAACTTTAGTCCTGGGTTCTAAAGCTTGGTAACTAAGCTCTGGAATCTTGGTAGGCTGTAAGCTGCAGTCCTATTAATCTTGGGCAAAGACAATCACATTGTTGTAGGTGATTTATAAATGTTAGTGCAAGTTTCATTCTTTTTAAGACCTGTCTATATACTAAGTGAAACACAGAAAACTTTAAATTTGTGGCCAGGTGACATAGCAAATCATTAGGTTCTTTTTTCTCTATACTTTTTCTCTTGAAGAGCTCACCAGCTTTCATGGCCTCATTAGAGGCAGCCAGGAAGCATAGTGTATAGTGTTGAGACTGGAGTCAGGAAGACCTGATTTCAAATCCAGCCTCAGACATTTAATAGCTTGTGTGATTTTGGGCAAGTAATTAACTTTCTTCTGCCTCAATTTCTTCAACTGTAAAATGTGGATAATGGGGGTTATGAAGCTCAAATAATATAATATTTGTACAGCACTTAGCACAATGCCTGTCATGTTCTAGGCTCTTAGTAAATTATTTTTCCTTCCTTCTTGACTATCACCTCCATGTGGATGATTCAAAAATCAGAATGTTCAGTCCTATGCACTCTCCTGACTTCCAGTCTCAAAGCCCACTGTTTCCATTTATTTGGATATGTCTAAATTTGCCATGTTCAAAACCCATTCTTTCAAACTATCTCTTCTTCCTGACTTTCTTTTTTCTCATCAGTTTTGAAATTTTGAAGTTAGCCTTGACTCCACAGTATCTTATCATGTCTTCCTTTAAAACATTTCTTATTGATAAACTTAACCCTTCCCAGCAATACAAGGATCTAAGGCCTCATGATGGAAAATGTTATCCACATCCAAAGAAAGAACTATGAAAGTTGAATTGCTATTTTTTTCTCTTCTGTTGAGTTTTGTTTCCTCTTTCTGATGGTCCCTCCTATTGGTTTTAATTTTTACTTACAATACCACTAATGTGAAAATATGTTTAACAGGAATGTCAATGTATAGCCTATATCAGATAGTGCGCCGTCTTGGAGAAGGTGGTGGGGAAGAAGGGGGAGAAAAATTTTAAACTCAAAAGCATATGGAAGTGATTATTGATAAATCAAAATAAATTAATAAAATTAATTTTTATTAAAAAAAAAAGAAAAGCTTAGGGCAAAAAAAAAATTTCTTGTACCTATGACTTATTTTCTGTTCCCATTGTCATCATACTAGCCTAAACTCATTATCATCTCTTGTCCCCATGTCCCCAGTATTCTCCTCCCAATTCCACTTCATTTTACATCTTGTCATTAGACTGATTTTTCTGAAAAAACTGCCATGATTAAAACCTGAAGAGATACACCATTGCTTATGGGTTAAAGTATAAAGTCATTAGGCTGACATTCAAGGTCATCCACAATTTGGCTTCCAACTAACTTTCCAAATTATATTCCCTTTATACAAATTATCTATCTATTTCAGTCTGATGTAAATGTGAGAGAGAAAAGGAAAGAAGGAATCATGGATGACTACAAAGTTTTTAGCTTAGATGACTGGGAGAATGATAGAATAGAAATAGGAATAGGAAAGTCAGGAGCATACCATGCTCTGACCATATCTTGTTAGATTATTACAACTTCCTAGAATGCCCATCCTCCATCTTCTACATGATTATTCAGATCAAGTACTCTCTTTTACACTCCTCTCGTGCTAAAGAAGACAACTGGTAACATAAGAATATCGGAGGAGATAGGATCTCAGAACAACAAACACACCACAAAGTGATAGCTAAACTAGTGTGGGCATACCTTCTCACCATTGGATAGGTGGTGCCTGATCAACTGTTGAGATATGGTATGCTTTGGCTGCTACTAGTGCCTGGAATCCTTTCCCTCAGTCCCATGATGCTACTTCTCCTCCATCAAGTTACTCTATTCCCTTCAAATTCCTCTTACTTTTCTGTCTCCCTACATCCCTCCACAATATGGAATGAATATACACACATACACATGTACAATTATGTGTGTATATGTGTTTATTCATTCCATATTCATATACATACGATGACAGACTTAGACTTTCCATTGAAGCCTATTTCTCATGTGTACAACCCCTTTATCTTGGTGGTATGTCATGGAAACAGGCATAGGAAGGGGAAATCAGGGAAATGAAGAAATCTATTTGATCAATCATTTGAAAAGCTAGTCACATTAATTAAAAAGAATTAGTTTTTTTGTGTTTTGATTAGTATTGATGATGAATTCATAATCACCTTTGTTTATTGAAAGGACTCCCAAAAGTAATATTTTCCTCTACTGTAGCATTCAATAACCAGGGTTTCTGAGCTGCATAGGCCACAGAGTGCCTGTTCCTACTGAAAAATCAGAAAAAACCCAAGTAAACAAAAATGACAACAGAGTGATATAAAGAAGGTACATTTTTTCACTTGCAGATGAAAGTCAAAAGGTTTAAAAACAAATGAAAAAGAGTCTAAAGGGGACATTTTCAAAACCCACCAATCTTATTATTAGTTGTGTTGTTAATACCTCATCTTAAGGGGCTAGCATTTAATCAAACTGGAACATAAGGTGCATTTTTTGTGCAGAAAATGTATACATGTAAAAAGTCACATTTAAATGCAAACTTTTAAACTTTAAATGTCCAAGTCATAGGAAAGTAAAATTTAAAACATAAACTTATAAACTGATTTTTCATGGTTAATGTAAATATAAATAAAAATATAAGTCATTAAATTGAATAGTCATCAACTATCCTCAATAGCCACATATCTTTAAAATTCTATTTAAGCCATTGTCCCCATGCATTGATTTACATTTTTGCAGACAACCCTTCATAAAAGGGGAGGCTTCTCTCAGCACCATAATAGAGTAATATGTTTTGTGGCTCAATCATATTTTAAAAGTATATTTTGAATGCTTACAAACTACATTAACCTAAGACACTGTCATCATAAATAACATTTTGAGAAAAATTATATTTAAGTAAAATGTATTTTAGTTATATATTGAAAGAGTTTATTCAACAAAATGATTACAAAGTAATCTTTTTTTAATCTTGGAAATCATATCAGATGTCTGTGCATCAGCTATTCAGTAATTAAGAAATAACCCCTGAATCTAGACTAAAGGAGATGGAATTTGAAGGCCAGTTCAGTTTTAAGTCAAACTTTCAATGTTAGTTTGCAGTAAGTGCAACTTAAGGTTAAGAAAGAAAGAGTATTTATAATATATGGAATATTAGTTAGAAACACTGTTGTCCTATATATCAATTTTAAGAGTTTAAAAGATATGAGAATGTAATATATGCAGATATTGCTTCTTAGATAGATGTATTCATACTCATACAGTGGTGACCAACCTTGGGCACAAGAATCCATTCTGATTCTTTAGGTTTTTAGCATTGCTGCTTCTGGGTCTCCTTCCTTATCTGAATGGAAGACTCCAATGCTCCATTATTATTATTTAGTTCCCATTCCCATCTGTAATTTTATGTGGATAGAGCCCAATCCCAATTTGATTTAAAAAAAATATGAACTTTAGCTGAAATCAAGGTGTATAAAACTTGCTGTTGAGTAAACTCTCTGGCCCAATGAGACTATTTCTGTTAAACTGGTAGTTGTGCCTAATCAGGTTGAGAACCACTGCCCTTAAATTTTGGCTAACACATTCTCATGAATTATTTGTTATAGGAAAAGAAAAAAACAAAATGACTAGGGAGTAAAAGGTTAAGTTTCAAGGAAAGTTTGAGAAAGAAAATTATTTTTATTAAACATAGTTAAAACAGAAATAATACCTTCTGACTGCTTCAAAAGAAGGCTCTGATTCATTTACACTGCAAGTATGGTAAATAATGTTCATTATTCAAGGAATGGGTATAATTAATGTGTACATATTTTATGTAAGGGGCAAAATAAACATTAGGTATAGTAAATACTCAAATTCCTAATATAATTTTTATTTTGATTTCAAAGGTAAACACAGGTTAGAATTCCATAATAATAAACTAGACATAAAATTCTACTCTTCTATGTTATCAGCTAGACAACAGATATTTACTAAGCTCATATTTAGTAAACAATACTATGCCTATCCATAACAGATACTGGTTGTGACTAGGTTCACTTGGTTATGAATGTATCTAGCTCTAGCATTGTTACAAGTCCACCTGAGCAAGTCATTTTATCTTTCTTGGTAATATTTTCCTCATTGGTGTTGAAGTCTCTTTCATTTCTAATATTCTAGGTAAATCTATATAAATTCTGGTAATGAAGATGAAAAATAACACAATATTCCAATAACACATAACATGATATTCCTAAACTAATTTCCACTTGAATGATGAATATGTAATATGGTTTGGGCTATTTTCATTTGAACTGCATTCATATTAATATTTTCTGAATATATACCAATTCATAGATAGCTGCCAGAAGTATGCTTTGTGATTGTGCTAGTGACTGTATGCTAGCATAGGTTTAAAATTATACCATAGTAATTAAGGGCCATCTGTGTAGGAATAAATCTATTTAGGACTAACTCATTCAAAATACATAAAAATGAACAATTGACCAGATTTTGTTCCACAACATAGATGAAAACAGAGACCTTCCCATGCCAGTCTGATGATGGTTGAAATTCATTGAATCACAATGGCTAGTATGCTGGAGAGAAGCTTTTCATTACTCAACTACAAATAAAGTTAATATACAAATACCCTTGGCAGTTAATGTACTAACTCCATACTAATTTTTATATATCTGACATTAGAGTTTTTCCTGAGAGCAGGCTTTGAAAGAGAGGAAAAAAGTTATAAAAACCAGGAACATCTGAACTGAGAAGACACAGAAAAGATGACACCAAAGAAAAGGAAAGACAAATGTCTGATTTCTTCATAACTTTATCTAGAGTTTATTTGCAGCTGGTAATGTTTTGGAGTCTGTCAAAGTCATACATGTTCAAACCTAGGGCACTGGGATTTTATTAATGCTACTAAGAAGCCCTTACACTTCATTGTTTTTATTGTAATTACACATGGTAGGTCATAGCCCGCTGACAAATGATAGTCCACTCTGGAAGTTTTTGCAATAGTCCCTCAGAATCATCAAAGAGATACAAAGAAAAAAAAGAATGATTTTAAGCATCCTTGGTTAACCATTAACCTTCCATCACTACAGTAGAGGTAAATGGCTCAAAATAAATACTTTAGGACAGTCTAGTTCTGTTATTATGAAACTGTATCTATGTCACTGTTTCCATTTATCTTTCCTTGATTTTTTTGAAACTTCCTGGTAGGTATGGCCTGGACCTAAAGTAACAACTCTTTTCTCTATAGGGGGGGAAAAAAACTTCTCAAAGCAACAGGTTAAGAGAACTTACTGCATATGTTCTCCTCCATGAAAAATTCAGAATAAAATTCATAAAGCCAGGAAACAGAGAGGTCTTCCTTGGAAATGGTGGAAGATAATTTTTGGCCAAGTGTAGTTTTTGTTTTGTTTTACTATTATTTCCCAAGTAAGCATATTGATCATATTTGGCATGATGGCTAGGCTTGGAATCAGGAAGATTCAAATTCCATCTCTGATGTTTACTACAGTGTAACTTTGGACAAGTCATTTAACTTTATCAGCTAAGTCACTTATTGGCCAAGATCTGCATGGAAGGAGGTGTCCCCTATTCTGCAGAGGCAAAGGAGCTGCTTCCCTGAATTGTCAACTATCACTATCAATAAAAATTTTGTCTCCATCACTTTTATCCCAATTGATTTTTATAATAAAATAACTGTTAGATCTACCATTTGACCACATTTTATTGTATCTATTTTAATGATTCTCCTGGACAGAAATATGCTAATTAATAATTCCAAACTCAAAAAAATAAATAATTTTCAAGTGCCTTTCAACATTCTTAATATATAAATTATAATTTTCTCAAGGAGGGAAAAAGACTATTTTTCTTGCTTTTAAAAATAGTGAGAGAGGGAACTTATGCTAACTAATCACCTTGAGTGCTCTTCTATAGTCATCTTACACTAAGGTGGTTTGAAATTGTCAGCAAAATTTTTTTGGTCAGCTACAGTATTCATTTCACCCATCCCATATAATTAGTTAATAAGGTACTTGGTGCTCTGAAGAAAACAATATCAAAAATTTGAAAAACCTAAAGAATATACTATATTCAAAGGAATAGGCTAAATTATATAAGGAATTCAGTCAATATGTTTTCTATGATCATATTCAATCAGTCAGTAGAGTATAATAGAAAAAATAAAAACAAAACTTGGTATCCAAGGACCTGAGTATAAAAGCAAGCTTCCAAGTTCTGTTATTTTCTTACTGTGTGATATACTGGACTACTAGCTATTACCTGAATTATGACACCTGCCATCTTTGTACATTGTCACAATTCATTCATTCAATAAGCACTTATTGAGTACCTTGTATATGTAAATCAAGAAATATGAAAAGTTCAGAAGATGTATGAATTTAATTGAAAAGCTAATGCGTCCCAATTTGGACATGTCTGAGATGATTATGAAACATCCAGGTAGATATATCTAACAGGCAGTATGGTACCAGCAATTAGGGGAGAAATGAAGGACGGATATGTAGATTTGAGTCACCTGTATAGACATAATTGAATCTAACAAATACTAATAAGATCACTACAGAATGAAGAGACAGACAAGAGAGCCAAAGAGAGACAGACACAGTCATATGAACAGAGAAAGACACTGAGACAGAGAATGAGAGAGTCAAAGAGAGAGAGAAAAGGGCATGGAACAGAGCCCTAGAGTACATCCACACACAGAAGGAAGGTGAAGAGGACATAGTATCCAGCAAAGGATATTGAGGAGTAGCAAGACAGGAAAAGAACAAGGAAAGAATACTGTCATAAAACTACAGGAATAAGAGAGCATCTAAACTCTAAATCAGCACTCCTATAATTCCGTAGAAAGTAGGAAGAAACAAAAGTAAAGATGGAACAGCTCTTCCAGACCCTAAAATATATTTTGAAGTAGTACTCAAAAGTATTTGTTATTATTTAAAAACAGAAAAATAGATCAGTGGAACAGACTACCTAAGTAAAAAACAAAAACAAAACCAAATGAACTTAAGAAGAATAAGATCTGCTGGAGAAACTGGAAGGCAGTTTGGACCATCATCTTAGACAGCAAACTACAAGTTTCAAATGGAGACACAACCAAAATATAAAAAAGACAGATTTTTTAAAAATGGATGACAAATGGAGAGATGCCTTTCACAACTGTGGATATGGCAATAATCCTTAACGAAATAAGAGACAAAATTTTATAAAGAGAAATTGAAAAGTTTTTACATAAAGAAAATCAATACATTTAGTGCAAGAAATAAAACTGTTGGCTGAAAAATCTTTGTTTCAGATGTCTCTTTTAAGGGTATATCTAAGCATAGGGTATAATATCATATATAGGGAACTAATACAAACATATGACTGTGAAGTACTCTAAGCATTCATTCCCCAAGTAGATAAATGATCAAAGCATATAAATAAACAGAATTTTTTAACTTTGAGGATGTTTTATTGTTGTTATCACTAAATAGAAGAATTATAAACTATCAACAGCCACAGGAAAGATTGCTCCAAGAGACCAATAATAAGAAACATTAAAATTTAAGCAACTTGGAGGTTTCATCTTTTAACCTTTAACAGGCAAAGATGACAAATGAAAGCAACAGTCAAAGTTGGAGGGGCCACAGGAAGATAGACACACTAATACACTATTGGATAAGCTATGGATTACTCCAGCAATTCTGGAAATACCATTCAGAAATAAGTGAAAAAAGATCTCAAAATATTGATACTGCTAATGATATACTCCAAGGAAATTAAAAACAGAAAGATCCTATATATACCAAAATATTCAGAGCAACTCTTTTTGTGATGGCAAAGAACCAGAAATAAACTGGTATCCACTGATAGGAGAATAGTTAATCAAATTGTAATACATGAATGAAATGCATTATTATTGTGCCATACGAAATGATGACCATGAGGAATTCAGGGAGAGATGAGAAGACTTGTATGAATTGATGCAGAGTGTACTAAGTGAAATCAGGTAAATAATATACAGAGTCATGAACACAATGTGTATACAAAGAACAATAAAGAAAACTGTACTGTAAAATTATTATAAATAAGCTTGTCTCAAAGGAAAAGTTGAGAGGTGGGGAACTGAGTCTAGAATGTTCTGCTTTCAGATATAAATGATGTATAGATGGCTTCACTGAACCACATATAACTATTGTGTGTATATATCTTTGTTATAAGGGAAGATTCACTGCAGCAGAGGGGAGAGGTATATCTGAAAATTAATATTATTAAAAACTTAATGACCAACCAAACTTTAAAAGAATAAGAAAATAAGAGGCAAGAAGCTGTTCCAGGAGTGTAGTAGCCTCTTCAGAAGAGACTACTACTTTAAGAAAACTGTAAAACTTTAAATAGCTGGTTGCTCTAGATTCAGACTGTAATGCTACTAGTTAAATTTAAGAAAAAAGATAGTAGATTAGGGCAATACTACACATAGTTTACTTATATTTCAGCACAGCATTTCATAAAGCATCACATGCTGTACTTGTGTAAAAGATGGAGGGATATGGGCTAGATAACAAAACATTTAGATAATTTTAGAAATGGCTGAATGGTTGGACTCAAACCATAGTTATTAATAGACCAATGTCAGTTTGGAAGGAGATCTCCAGTGGAGTGCCTTGGGGATCTCTGCTTGGTTCTGTGCTTTTTATTGTTTTTATAATACACTTAGATAAAATCATAGGTGGTAAGCATATCAGA